TCAGTCACCTTCGCCAGGTTACAACATTATAATAAACTGAAAATTCATAAAAACAATATACTAAACAAATTATTAGAAATATCATCGATTTTATATACTTTTTTAAACACCATATTTCTTCAGGGTGCCATTCTTCATCGGTCTACATAAAATCCGTTTATTTAAAAAAAAGTATTATGTGTGAATTGCCATTATTTATTTGGAAATTGGCGTTGTTCGTCCTTGCATTTTCCATTACTTTGATTTCATATTATTTCTTCTCAGTGAATGTCTGTCACCCAAGGCGGTCTACACTTTTATTTAAGTCATTGCTTGGAAAGTGGAGATATATTTATTCCTTTCTAAGTGTATTTGCGCAACAGTGAACATAATTGAGTAGGCCAACATTTAAAATCGTCTCGCCAATTACATTTTCTCCGCTGATAGCAGTAACGCTAACCACATATTCAGTAAGTAATTAAATATTCAAAATCGTCATGGTTACTTTATAAGAAAGAGTTCGAAATTGACATTGCTATGATCCTAATCATCTAAAACAGGTAAAATAATTAGGTTCATTGATTGATCTGATGTTTTTACGGTTTATCATCATTTTGTATGTTATTTAAGGGATTAGTTTTAGATTGTAACAGTTTTTAAGTTGATAAGAATTTACTGATTTAAGTCCCACTAATTAAACCAAAGCTGGAGGATATAAGGTGGATTAATAGCCTTTCCAAAGATATTTAATTGTAACTGAATATAACGAACTCGATTGGAATTGAAACTCGGTTCTTCGATTTCAAATTGTGACCCATTATCTATAACACCACCCGCACATCCAAGCTTACAGTACCTGGAATTCACAAGCAATCACTCTTCTAGGGACTGACTAGGCTCGATATTGGTTAACTTCGCCGATCGTACGGGAGCCGACGTTTTGAACGTGATACTGGTAGAATTTTTCAATTATATCAAGGAATTATGATGACCCTGTTTTAAATACGACCCTTAATGAATGCTATGGCATTGTGATGTACGAGATTTCAATATGCATCATAATTATCCCGTTTTATTTTTCGTACCTCTTCAGGACGTGGGCATTCATAGTTTTCCACAGGATATCAGCATAGGCATTTGTTCTTCCCTAGTAGGAATAAAATTGACATATGCATGTATATACCGGATGTAACAGCAAAATTTCTCATTCCACAAAATATTTAATATCTAAAAAATAAATAAATAAAACACTAAATAAATAAACTGAGTTTATTTTTCCAGGTTTTTCAGAATTCACACCTTTCCCAAGGTTAGTTGCGTGTAAGTGAATATACCTAACACAAGTGGAATTGAAACTCGGCTCTGCGATTTCCAAATCGAAGCGTTTATCCATTACACATACAAGCATACATAACTTTCAAGCTTATACCACCCGATATTCACATGCGGTCATTCATCTTGGTTAGGTAATGACCAGGATCGACCTTGCTTAACTTAGGTGATCGTACTAGAACCGGGGTTTCAACGTAGTATGGTCGTAAAACAAAATAATCACTATACCACAGAAAAGTAAATATTAACTATTTACTTTTTATTTGTAGCTATTAGAATAATACAATATCATGATCAGCGTTATGTTGAAATAATGAAATAACTTGGTTAATTCATTATATATCTCCACAACTTACTGCTTTTTGTAGCTCTTAGTAAGTATTCTCATTTTTTCTATAATTTCAAGTCTATTTTCCGCCAGCTATTTATTCTATTTAATTCCTTATATTGCTAATTTTCTGCTTAGTTCTATACGTCTTGATTTCAACGTGGGGAAAATTCTCCAAGATTTCTATTCGGTACCATATACATTTCAAAATTCTCCTTCTGATACTAGGTATAAGCATATTTGTTTATATTTTCCTGAAATGTTTGTAGTTACATTATTAGTCGAGGGTATTCTCAAAATCGTTCTATAGAGTCAATCTATTCTGATAGATCAGTTTATACTTTCTTCTGAAGATCATTCTGGATAAATCAATTTATGTTTTCCTCTGGAAGTCTTTCTGTATAAATAAATGTATGCTTTCGTATGAAAGTATTTCTAAATAGATCAAGTTTTTCTATACCCTGAAAATCTTTCCTAATAAATCAATTTATGTTTCTCCAGAAAATCTTACTAGATAGATCAATTTATGTTTCTTCTGAAAATCTTTCTGGATAAATCAATTTATTCTTTCCTCTGAAAATCTTTCTGGATAAATCAATTTATGCTTTTCTCTGAAAATCTTTCTGAATAAATCAATTTATGTTTCTTCTGAAAATCTTTCTGGGTAAATCAATTTATGCTTTTCTCTGAAAATCTTTCTGGATAAATCAATTTATTCTTTCCTCTGAAAATCTTTCTGGATAAATGAATTTATGCTTTTCTCTGAAAATCTTTCTGGATAAATCAATTTATCCTTTCCTCTGAAAATCTTTCTGGATAAATCAATTTATGATTCTTCAGAAAATCTTTCTGTATAAATCAATTTATGCTTTCGTATGAAAGTATTTCTGAATAGATGAAGTTTTTCTATACCCTGAAAATCTTTCATAATAAATCAATTTATGTTTCTCCAGAAATTCTTCCTGGATTGATCAATTTGTCCTTTCTTCTGAAAATCTTTCTGGATAAATCAATTTATTCTTTCCCCTAAAAATCTTTCTGGATAAATCAATTTATTCTTCCCTCTGAAAATTTTTCGGGATAAATCAATTTATCATTTCCTCTTAAAATCTTTCTGGATAAATCAATTTATGTTTGACTCTGTAAATATTTCTGGATAAATCAATGCATGCTTTTCTCTGAATATCTTTTTGGGCAGAACAATTTATACTTCCGTTGAAAACGATTCTGGATAGAACTAGTTTTGCTTTCCTCTGAGAATATTGGTTCTGTAGAATGATATTCAGATTTATATTACCTCAAATCTCTTTTTAATCTTTAGTGATATAATCATGCATTCACTGCCATATATAAGGACCGATATTATATAAATATTCACCACTCTTCATTTTTATTAATACTTTATTTAACTTTGTGAAGACATCATTCCCTATTAATTCGATATACAGAGAAAATGTTGGATTAAGATTTTAAATGTATCGTAATATTGATAGCTTTATAAGATACACTTAATTTAAATTATTTCTCCAGAAATTTAATGTTAGACAGGTTAAATAAATCAAGGTTAATCTATTGTTCTCGGGAGTTTCATTTTGCAAAATTCAGGCATTTTTCATGTTTTCTTTTTTAATTTATCATTTCTTGATTTCATACATCTGTACTTCTTGTTCTGATGCGGTCTTTTGTTCTCTTAATTCACTAAAATATATTCTGTTCCCACATTTTAATATTAAAAGCTGGTAATTATTGATATTTAACAGACAGTAATCATCGGCACATTCAGAAGAAGAAAAGTAATGACATCCAACCGCACAAAAGGTTATTTATGAAACTTCTTTAAAAGGAAATGCAAATATCGTTAATGTTTAATAGATGAACACGAGAACACACACGCACACAAAACCATTTAAACATATCGATGAGTCTTTGTGAAGAATAGTAAGCAATTTAACTGTTTTTTATGTTAGCAATTCCTGGATAAATCTGGTAGATGGAAAGGTTGATTATTCATTCCTGTGTAGCGAGTTTTGATGAAATTAAAATAAAACATATAAACAAAAATTTAAAAATTAAAATTAAAATAAGGCTTTTGTGCTTTCCTTTAATTCCCTTAACTCTTTTCACGCTGCCTCTCTAAACTTTTCTGTATATTCTTCTCACAATTAATGAGAAGGTAAAACTCAAATAAAAAGAGGAAACGAAAAGACCGGCGATCAACGTCAGAGGTCTGCGTGACAAGAGCCTACTTATTTATGACTATAAATCTAACAAAATGAAACCGGCTCTATGTATAAATTAATTTATTTAAAAAATGAAAACGAAAAAGTGTCGGAGCTTAGGCAAAACGACATAAGCTCACAGCTCTTAACTAGACGAGGAGAAGTGACAGCAATAAAAACCACCGAACAAGAGAACGCGATCGCCGGAGAAAACAGCTATGAGTGAAGAAGTAGTTAAGAGGTCATTTGTTAATTATATTTTCTACCCTTCTTAGGGCCGAGTAAAACAGTAAATATGACACTTAACTATTTCTAAGATGACAACTACTACGAGGAAGGTCTGATCACGGAACGACCCACTAGCGACACGAAATGAACATTTCTCCAGACTGCTACCAATATCCGTCTCATATATATATATATATATATATATATATATATATATATATATATATACACTTGAGTCAGTTCGTTTTATTCTACGGTTTCCACTAACTAAATGACAAAAATTTCTAGCACAGACATCAAAACTCACACTTATTTATTTATTAGTCGCAGGTGATCATAACACTCTACGGCTTCCTGTGATTTGTAGCAATGTTTGTCTTTTACACTCTCTCTTCAGCCATTGGCATAAACATGTTAAACAGGTTAATCAGTGCTTCCCCTATTTTTCCTTTTGTCTTCAGTATGTCCAGTGAGAACTGTGTTCTCTTTTCCCATTATGATTCCCAGAGAAATCAAAGGTTCCTTTCGCAATGAAAGTAAAAGTGTTCTTTTCGTTTCGTTCCCAATTTACTTAAAACATAGTTTTCTCACTCTTCAAGAATGTTTATTGACGTGTCAGCTGAAAGATATATTCTTTAAGAGACAAATGCAAAAGGGAATTAGGTTAAATGTTTTGCATTAATGATATCTTTATTGAAATTTGAACATAATCCCTGTCAATTCAAATACAATTCGATGATTCCAAATTATATGCCAGAAACCGTTTGTCCATAGCAACAAAATGCTCACAAATGCAGACGTATACACGCACAATATATATATATATATATATATATATATATATATATATATATATATATATATATTCGAGATGTAGTCGATTTCACAATTGGTCGTAAAAGACCTCTGTTGAGATGTTCATCCACGCTCTATCGATAAGTGCTTTCCCGTCCTTGTTAACTTTATTCAGTCGCATTTTTCTTATTTCCAGTTCATTCATTTTAATATGTAACAAGAATAATTATATGAAAACATAAGTAAAATAGCCTTACCAACCAAACATTTATCTACATATCGGGCTAGAGGCATTCGGTTGTCTAGTAGCACTGAAGAGCTGTGGTACTGTCTGCAAATGACATAATTTAGCTGTTGAAAATATATTTTTCAATTGAGCACAGTTGAATGACAAGCTAATTCCGAAAACAACAGCCACCTGAGTAAATGAGAAACTCTTCAGTAAAATGAATGGAGCACTTCGGTTGTTTGGCGTTTGTTTACATTTGTAAAGACAATATGTTAGATTTGGCTGACTTATTCTGTCGAGTGAAAATAGCTCAATGGTAGAGAGTCTGACTGACACCAGATCGGTTGCGTCTCAATCGGGGCTTGAGGCATTCGGTTGTCTAGTCACCCTGAATCTTTGTCATTGGACCAGTGCCATGTGTTCTCAAGGACACATGGCACAGGGGATAAAGGCATTGGTTAGATCCAGGATAACAGGACCCAAAGAATATGAGTTCAATACCCGATTTCAGAGGGAAATTAACAGGAGATAACTGATAACTGACATCCATTAAACATGGCACATGGAACTAGAACAGTCTACCCCAGTGAGCGAAATAAAAGGTTCAGTTCGACATTCAAATCACATGAAGAAGACTGGAGCGTACAACGGCCGAAACGTTGTAATAAATATGGCGACAAAGATAAGGACTATAGTCCGAATAATGTAAATAGTATACATAATACCTCATCTCAGAAACATAGACAGATACTAAAGGTTGCTAGATAAGACGATAGACGCCTAAAGAAGACTAGAATGTATAATGTGAGTATAACATTCAAGGTGAACATGTTACGCAGGTTAGAAAAGCATATATTAGAAAACGTATAAAAATTTACTAACGTTGCGATTGTTGATGTTTTATTAACACTGATCGTATTAATTTTATATCTGCAGTAAGCGTCTAGTTTATGATCTCTATCGCTGATGTGTGAGGGTTGAGATGGATGACGGTTCAAAAAATGAGAAAATCTGTCGAGATCTTTACATTCACTTACGCGCAATGTCATCATTCGACCCTCAGCTATGGGTTAAATAGCAGGATAGACAGAATGTTATAGTTGGTAGCTAGTTTATCGCAGAATGTAATGGGACCTTACTGCTGGAATTCTTCTGTCGAGTTAATCATGAATCAAAAATTGACTGATCGTTCAAGCGTGCATTGCGTCAATGAAATTATGATTAGATTCTTTGTACTTGCTAAAAAATACGGCACGCTAAGTAAGCATCTACGTGGATGTATGATATGTTGGCTTTGAAATGGCAAAGATATAAAAAAAAAATGATGTGATTCACCGAGCCCAAGGGAAACTTTATCATTATTTTCCTTCTTTGTGACTGGCAAACACGCTACTAGTATTGTTTGCTTTAATCTCTTTACGGCCACGATAGTAGAGTTTTATAGAAATAAGAATAATTGTCTCAGAGGGAAGCAAGGCATTATGGGATTTGTTTCACATCTTTAGAAATTATAATCCGGGATTAAATGGCAGATTTTTAAAGGATAAATCGAACTTCTACCGTTGCTTCTGCGAGAAAGATATGTGCACGGTAGCTGAACTTGTGTATAAAAATATCTTCCTTTTTTTTAATATACATTTGTAACTAGAACAGACTCGGTTTAATTTTCTAAAAAGTGTAAATGTAACCACTTCTGAAATTGATGGCATGCTTGCTTGCATTATTCCATCTTGCAATGTTTTAATAAGATTTGAATTTCAGATTCTTACAAATATTGTTATTGTTTCTACATTTTTCTCTCATTTGCTTTTTCTCTTGCTTTTCCTATACTTTCCTTTGTCATCCATTAAAGTTTTCATTTTTCTATTCTTTTATTTGTGTGTGCATTGTCCATTAAATAGTTTTGTGCTATATTTATTCGTCCCTTTTCTCTATTTCTTCAAAACATTATGCTGTATTACTTCCGGATACATTCTAGACTTTACTTTGTTTACTTCTCATATCTACTTTCGCTTTCTCTTTCACTTTCCTATTCCCATTTTTGTCCTTTAAATTTTAAAATGTGTAAGTTATGTTTGGTTATTTGTTTGTTTTTTCTTTCTTTTTCATTTGTAACGCAATCACCATTTTTGGAAATTTTCTTTTCGACGAGGACATTCTTTAATACTTTTTTTATTTGCCTTTTTACTTTCTTTTATTTTCTTATATTTTGGAGGTCATTTGATTTTTAACCCATTTTTCTCCCTCCTTTTCAAAATTATTTTTTTAATTCCTGCATTTTCTTTCTTTCTTTCTTTCTTTCTTTCTTTCTTTCTTTCTTTCTTTCTTTCTTTCTTTCTTTCTTAGTATTATTTTATGTATTACATTTAATTTAGCTTCTTTTCTATGATTATTTCACTTAGTTGTTTTCCACCCTTTCACAATTATAATATCCATTTAAACATTTTCTCATTTTTCTTTCTTTTTTTCTTATTTATTCTTTCTTTCTTTCTTTCTTTCTTTCTTTATTTATTTATTTATTTATTTATTTATTTATTTCTTATCAGTCATCCTTTTCTGATATTACTTTTAATTTAGCTTATTTTCTTGGATTTTTCTCCAGTTCTTCATCCTCCTTTTCAAAATTATATTTTTCATGTCTGCATTTTCTTTCTTTCTTTTTTCTTTCTTTCTTTATTTATTTATTTCTTTATTCCTTTCTTTCTCCCCTTCTTTTTAGTCATTATTTATTGATATTACATTTAATTTAGCTTATTTTCTTCGATTTGTCACCTATTACTCTTTATCCATTTCACAAATATATTTTCATTTCAGCATTTTCTTTTTACATATATTCTTTCATTCATTCATTCTTTCTTTTTTTCTACCTTTCTTCCTTTCTTTCTTCTCAGGTATTATTTACTGATATTAGTTTTAGTTTAGCTTATTTTATTCTTTCTTTCATATCAGGCGTTATTTTCTGATATTATTTTTAATTTAGCCTATTTTCATCTCTTTTTGTATCCTGTATGAAACTTCTATTCTTCTGTGAAAATGCTTATCTGTTATTGGCTTTTATATATGTTTATCATTCCTTTTTGTTCCAGTGTTTTCTACTCTTTACCACCTCAGTCATCCGCTCAGATACAAAGCTGTCTAACAATTCTTCAAACCTTCATTTACACAGAAAGCAGTAGTTTCTATTTGCAAAGAAAAATCCTTTTTGTGCTGAGGTGTCTGAAATACACGTTTTATAAAAATTCTATTATCATTTCGGAAAGGCCAATTTTATTTTCGTCGAACAATTCAATCTTTTAAAAAGGGTTTATGACCTTTGGTGAATCGCGCGTTTGTAGTGATTCAAATATACAGTGTATGTTATGTTTGTGCGAAATGACTCACCATTTGCAAAAGGAGTCGATAACTGGATGATATCTGTGAATTCAGGATATTTATCTCTGCTGATCCTAACGTCAAGTTAAACTAAGTACAAAATCTTCTTTTTATTTTTGAATTACTAGATTAACATCTTATTTCTTACAGATAAACGCCTAAACCCTAAGATTATATTTAGCTAAGACAGATGGGAAAATAAATAGTCATATATACACGTTGTTCGGTTTTATTTTCTGTATTGTCCTGAATTTTAGGGCACTACACATGTTTACAATCCCATTTCTATATATTCGATTAATAGTGTATGTCTGAACCATTTTAAATTCATTTCGGCAAAGGTCATTAATTCTTTTGTTTAAATATTATAGCCAATGCGTCGACTGAAACTTCAAGGTAATGTAATGGATAACAAGCTTGTCTTGCTCTATAAATTACAACTGGACAGCGAGTTCGATCCTCACTGAGAGCTCCATACTCTCAGCCTTATGATAGATGTTAGCTACGTTTATTAAAACGCTATAATCTGTGTGGATAATCTAGTGAATATGTATAAATAATTATTATAACATACCTACTATTCATCTGAAATGTGAATTCTTTCAACAATATTTAATTATAAAACTCTTCAAATTTTTCATTTAAAGAATTATTATTTGAGTACCTCAAATAAGAATTCTTTAAATAAAAAAATTCTATAAAGATTGTTATTTATCTTCAAACCTCTTATTTGTTCTAGCAATTCTTAACTCGGTTCATGATTTTTCATTTGCCAGACGAAAATGCAATTTCTAATTAGTCATCCTGATCACAAGGTTAATTAGTGAGTGTTCCGACAATAAAAACGGAGTTTTAAACCCTTGATAATATGAGCCGAGATTGGCGATCCGAACGCACGCTCCTCCTGGAAAGTGTATGAAACCATATCACTTGCCCGTTTAAATTGGGCAGATGGAACTTTTCGTGGGTAAATGATGGTTGTGCTAGGGGGTGGTCACAATACCTAACTTGATATATAGATCGACACTATATAACCCAGGTTTATTATATATCTGTAACGGATGTCTCTATAAAACTTCTTGTCTCCCACTAGACTAACAATTCGTTGAATGGACTGGCGTAAAATCTAACAATGTCAGAATTTATTATAAAAGATTATTAAATCACAGGTTCTCCATCAATCGATAGTCGAGGGAAATCTTCAGCAACATCAACTGTCCTACGCTACGAATTCATAATGCAAAATATATTTTAGGCTACAGTCTATAAAAAAAGTGATTAGTAATCTTTCTGCCAAATATTTTTCTAACTATTCTTACGTATGTTCATTGGCTTTCAAAGCCAAACCTTAATTTGAAAGTAATCTGTGGTCAGCCATCTCTAAGTGATTTGATTTGATTGTTTAATAGTATGTCAACTCCTCATGGGTCATTTAATGCCTAAATCTAAGTTTCGTGCGAGATTTGAAGTAATAAATATATATATATGTTATTCCGCTTCCACAATTAAATACTGCTTTGTGGATATATATTTTTGTATGGACATACTTACTAGAAGTGTATACTTTCTATTGTAGTTTTGTTGAAGTTATATTTGGGAATACAGTTTGATTTCTTTTAGAAATTATAGCGAATTATATAGATTAATATCATGAAAGTGTTCTTTCATATTTCTTTTTGGTTGATTTTGTTTAGTGGTGTGTCAATATATGGGGGCTATTTAATGCCGAAATTTAAATATTTGGAACAATTTTATGACTTTAACAATATATTTTCAACGCATTTGTACGCCTTCAACTATAGATCAAATGTATTGTTGGTCATTTTGCTATAAAATGTATTGTTTGTAATTTTTTATATAAACGTGTATTGCTGGCATTTTTACTATAAAAATGTTTTTTTTTTATACTTTCACAGTCTTTAATTTTTGGTTAGGGTTCATTATTTGCCAATAGCTGGGACCGTAGCAGGTGCTGCCATCACGAGCAAAGTTGGACTTTGGGACAGCTGCATCTAAGAGGTGGTTTTCACGCTCCTAAAATCTTCCAACTTCCGGATCAGGGACATTGCTACTGGATGTAGTTTATCGTCATAATCAGGACTAATATGTTAGTCGAATTGTGAAAATAGTGAAGACAGTTGATCTGTGGAAAAGGACTCAGGGTATCGGGAATGTGTATGATAAGGATATTTTTAGTCGTTTCCTGATAAGGAAACATTTGTCATTCATTAAGCAAGGTTGAAGTTTATAAAATTTCCTCTTAAAGAATTTTGCCAATCTACTAAATGTTCTCACCCTTTCCCGTATTAAATGGGAGCTTCCTTCCTAAACTTTTGTTTTAAGAAGCGTGGAACGTCAACATCTTGATTATTTTATTATTGTTTATTCGAGATTTTCGGTGTATGTTTTTGATTGCATGATGTTATTGTGTATTTTCGCTTTTTCTGTATGTTTAACATAGTGTCTAGGTTGCTTGTCCCCATTAACTTCGTTTACAATTCTCAGGAGAAATTGTTTTCCCAGAGACTTAACTAGAGTGAATCCCAAAAATGACATCTTGACATTTTTCCTGATAGCCAGGAAGCTGCTGTGACTGTATATATATTCCATCCAACAAGCTTGTACTAGTTGTGTTGTTCAGAAGATGACAGACAATCAGCTTGACGTTATACGGCATATTCTCAGACCTCATTCTAAGGAATCTCTGGCTTGATCGTCTCAAATCCGTTTCCGGTAATTAGGTTTCCTTGTCCTCGTCTTTCTTCATCTGGGCATAATGGAACCTTTGTATTTATGCTTTCAATCATGTTTTTCTTAGCCATCACTTAAATTGAAACCTTACTTGAAGAAAGCACTAGCCAAGATTTTGCGAAATGCAAGATTTTTCTGAACCGTTTAAGCTAGCTGAGTTGTAAATTTGGGTTCAAGATATTTATATACGCTTTCATGATGAGTATAATCTCTTGGAATTGTCCTCCTTAAATCATATTTTTCCTTTTAATTTAATTGTTTCTATATCTTTAACATTTGGAGTAATTTGAACGTAGATTTCCTCTGTTCCTAGACCTAGGATGGTCTGACGTAATAACGAATACTTGTAATTCGGAGATCGATTACAGACAGAGATTTGTTTGTATAATATCACGCAGCTGAAACGTTGAAGATTATTATAAAAATAAAATGAAACAGACACGTAAAAATATATATTCAACTAAAAGGGACGTTAAATAAATATCATATAAAATAGAGATAACATCTATTTAATATCAAGACGGATTGGAAAATATAAAAATAGGACAATGGGCTATTGGACTAACGCATTGGTTCGTGGATTTAGTAATCTTATGGTTGTCAGTTCAATCTCTGGTTCGGGTAGTGAGAAATAACTGAGCAGTACTATAAGAACTAAGCGATATTCCTAGACAGTGGAACAAGAACAATCTACCCCAACCCCGTAGATTAAATAAAGGATCCAATTCAGAATTCCCTGTAGATTACACAAATCAATATAGAGCTGAAAAAGGCTGTAGGACAGAACGGCCGAAACCCTGTGCGAAACACCCAACAAATGTTCGGACAATAGTCCAAATATAAATAGTGGAAATAATGAAAAAAGGTACTGAAAAAAAATCAAATCAATATAAATATTCTGTTATTCAAACGACATATTTTAAAGAAATGTTTGAAATTAGTTTTGTCATGCACGGGTAATTTACTGCAATTAAGCACTAGAAAAGATTTTCAGAATTAGTCAAATGACCGCAAGCAAGAAAGCTGTGATCATTGAATAAAATAAAAAGTTCCATTAGTTGATAATTATTTGAGGATATTGTTCACATGCTGCTAATGTTCACGGTGGCAAATCGACGGTTACTGTTCTATTTAAGTTTAAGCCATTTAGAAGGATACACGCGACATCAATTCCAATGTCATATATGAGATTAGTTTAGTTTTCATACAAAATAATTGTCATGAAATTGGCGGATTTCAAACGAAGCAATCTTTCCCGTATATAGCGGCTGTTTCTTATCCAACTATAGGCACCAGATGAAAAATGAAAATAAAGAAAAAGAATGGAGAGCATTTACATAATAACAGGCATTTCCGTTTCTCTCTGTTGGATTTATGGAAATACATTTGCAAAGGATGTAATTCACTAATTTGCAAGTAGGTCATTCGCCTTTATTTTATTTTATTATAGTTCTTTCTTAATAAGCTGATATCTGAGCCATTAAAAACATCTAACATCGCTATCAGAACGGAACTTTAAATTTCCCAGAATTCATCTTGATGAATTATCTGTGAATTTTATACGTGATTTGTTTTTTTTTTCTCTTTAACACCTGAATTTCTCTCTGTGTTATTATATGGCCCATTTAGCTTGTACGGTGGTAATGATAAGTAACAAAAAATTGAGGCGGAACCGTTGACGCTAATGACGACGGCTGTGTAGATATATCAATATTGAGAAGCGAATTTATATTTTGTAGTGATCTTTCCGAGTGTAGCTTATATGTGACACAAGCCTGAAATAAGGGGTACCCAGTGAG